ATACTGAAGTCTGTTGTGGATTCATCTAACAAAGCTTCAAAGCAAGCCACAAACTATTTCCAAGTAACTTAAGTACATCCCAGTACAAAACTCAAAAATATTTAAAGAGATGCAAAAAAGAGAGAGAAAGAAAGAAAAGACATCCAGCACCGAACAATGTAAAATTCACAAGTCTGGCATCCCATTAAAAATTACCAAGCATTCACAGAAATAGGAAAATAAAATCCACAATGAGGAACAAAATTAGTCAATAGAAACAGATCCAGAAAAGACACAGATAATGGAATCACTAGATAAAAACAGCTATTATAAATAAACTCCATATGTTTAAGAAGGTAGAGGAAAGCACAAGCATTATAAGGATAGTTATGGGAGATATTTATGAAGATATTTATGAAGATTATGGAAGATAGTTATGGAAGATATTTATGAAGATTATGGAAGATTGTTATGGAAGGTTATTTATGAAGATATTTATAAAGATTATGGAAGATAGTTATGGAAGGTAGTTATGGAAGATATTTATGAAGATTATGGAAGATAGTTATGGAAGGATAGTTATGGAAGATATTTTAAAAGATCCAAATTGAAGTTCTAAATGAAAAATACAATGTCCAAGATGAAAAATATACTGGATGAGATTAACAGCAGATCATACACTGCAGAAGAAAGTGAACTAATTGTCAGTGAGCTGCAGGACAAAGTGAAGCAACCTAGCACATGTATAATCAGAGTCCCAGGAGAAAGAGAAAGGAATTAAGAAAAAATATTTGAAGAAATAATGACTAAAACATTTCCAAGTTTGGTGAAATTAAAAGCACACAGACCCAAGGAATTCAGAAAACACTAAGCAGAAAAGAAATGAAGACAATTACACCAATACATGTCACAAATTAAATTCTTTAAAATGAGTAATAAAGTGGAAATCTTTAAAATCACAGAAAAAGGATGTATTACATACAGAGGAAAAAAGACAATAATTACCAGCTTCTTGTTGGAAATAATGCAAGTCAAAAGACAGTGAAGCAACAGCTTTAATCTACTGGAGAGCAGGGACCCTATCAGCCTAAAATTCTACACTCAGAAAAACATACCTTTCAAAAGTGAACACAAAACAAAGACTTTCTTAGACATACAGAATCTATAAGAGTTCATCACCTGAAGACTATGCTGTAAAAAATCTGAAAGAAACTTCTTCGGGGAGAAATAGAAGGACAGCAGCTAGAAATTTGAATGTATATAAAGAAATGAAGAGGGGCTGGCCCCGTGGCCGAGTGGTTAAGTTCGCGCGCTCCGCTGCAGGTGGCCCAGTGTTTCGTTGGTTCGAATCCTGGGCACGGACATGGCACTGCTCATCAAACCACGCTGAGGCAGCATCCCACATGCCACAACTAGAAGGACCCACAATGAAGAATATACAACTATGTTCTGGGGGGCTTTGGGGAGAAAAAGGAAAAAAATAAAATCTTTAAAAAGAAAAAAAAGAAATGAAGGGTATCAGAAGTACAAAATATATGTTCAGATATAAATGATTTGTTATTTTTTTAAATCTCTTTTTAAAAATTGGCTATTTAAAGCAAAAATTACTTTAAAATGTATTGTTTGGCTTATAACATATGCAGAAGTAAAATGTATGACAATAATAATACTAAGTTTGGAAAGGGAGAAATCGAAGTATCTGCTTGTACAGTTCTTATACCTTATGTAAAATGCTATATTATCTGAAGGTAGACTGCAATAAGCTAAAACATATATGATAAATCATAAATCAATCACTAAAAATATTAAAAAAGAGTTGTAACTAATAAGCCAATAAAGAAGATAAAATGGAATAAAAAAGTGTGCGACTAATCCAAAATAAGGCAGAAAAGAGTGGAGAAGCAGATGGGAAAAATAGAAAATAAACAGCAATCATATCAACAATTGCATCACATTAAATATAAATGATCTAAACATAACAAGGAAAAGGCAGAGGTTACCAGATTGGAAAACAAACAAACACAAAAGAGAAAAGAAAGAAAACTGCTTGCTAACTATCAGAAACAAGATTTAAATATAAAGACACAGATAGGTTAAATGTAAAAGGATAGAAAAAGATGCATCGTTCTAGTATTAATCAAAGAAAATGGAAGTGGCTATATCAATATCAGACAAAGTAGATTTATGGTAAGGAATATTACAAGAGATAAAGATGGTTATTTCATAAGAAAGCAGTTAATTTATCAGGAGTATATATCAATCCTAAAGTCTATGCAGCTAGAAAAGGAGATCTAAAATATATGAAGCAAAAACTCAGAAAAGTGAAAGGAGAAGTAGTTAAATCTGCAAATATAGTTACATATTTCAATACCTCTCTCCATAAATGATAGGACAAATATATATAAAAAAAATTAGTAAGGAATACAACAACATTATCAAACAGTTTTACCGAATTGACATTTATAGAATGCCCTACCCAATGACAGCAAAATACTCTTTCCTTTCAAATGTACCCAGAACATTATCAAGATCAACCATATTCTAAGCCATAATGCAAGTCTCAATAAAATTAAAAATATTCAACTCATACAAAGTATGTTATCTGACCATAATGGAATAGTTTAAATGTGAGTAACAGAAAGATTTTTGCAAAATCTCCCAATATTTATAAATAAAACAATGCACTATTAAATAATCCATAGGTCTAAGGAGGAATCAACAGAAAACTAGGAAATAGTCTGAATGGAAGAAAAACAAAAACAAGACATATCAAAACTTATGGAGGCACAACTAATAATACTTAAAGGAAAATGTATAGCTTTGAATGCTTATATTAGAAAAAAAGTCTCAAATCAATGATCCTAATGCCACCTTAATGGACAAGGAAAAGAGCAAATACGAAATAATAACAATAATAAAATAACAGAAATAAATGATATAGAAAACAGAAAAACAATATAGAAAATTAATTAAACCAAAAGCTAGTCCTTTGAAAAAAGATAAACAAATTTGATAAACATCTAGGAAAAAAGTGAGAAAATAAAAACTACCAATATTAGAAATCAGACAGCAAATACCACTATTGATCTTACAACGTAATAAGAAAATGTTCACTGGCAAATACTAACAAACAAGAAAATAATCATTGAGATCTATAATTTATGATATGTATTTTGTAATTTATAGCAAATGCAATAAGTTGGACTTCCTAAAAATTAAAAACTATTGTTCTTCAAAAGACGCTCTTAAGAAAATGTAAAGCAAGCCATAAACTGGGAGACAAGATTTGTAAGTCTTATATCCCATAACGGACTGGTATCTAGACTATATGAAGAACTCTTACAATTTAATAATAAAAATGCAAACAAACAACCCAATTTTTCAAATTGGTGAGATTTGAACAGATACAACACCAAGGAAGAGATATGAATGGCAACAAAACATGAAAATCACAATGAGATACCACTACATACCCACCAAAACGCCTTTAAAATTTTTTAACTCGTCATACCAAATGTTAGCAAGTAAGTGGAGGAACTGAAACTTTCACACACTGCTGATGGAAATTTAGGAAATGTAAAATTGTACAATCACTTTGGAAAATAATTTGGCAGTTTCTTAAATAGCTAAACATTTACTACCCAGACATTCCACTCCTAGGCATTTATCTAAGAGAAATTCATACATCTACACAAAGACTTGTACATGAATGTTCATAGTAGTTTTACGTGTAATAGCCAAAAATGCAAACAACTGAAATGTCAATCAACAGTTGAATGGATAAATACATTGTGGTATATCCATACAATGGAATACTACTCAACAATAAAAGGGAACTAACTCTGGATATACATGACAACATGGATGAATAAATCTCAAAATAATTATGCTGAGTTGTATAAAGCAAGTCACAAAATAATGCATGCTATATGATTCTATTTATATGAAACTCTAGGAAATGCCAACTATATTGACAGAAAGCAGACCAGTGGGTTTGTTGGCTATGGAACCCCTGGGGAGGGAGGGATGGATTACAAAGCAATCTGGGAGTGATAGATGTGGTCATTATCTTAATCATGGTGATGGTTTCATGGGAGTACTCATTTGTCAAACTCATCAAAGTATACACTCAAGTATACGCAATTTATTGTACACCAATTATACTTAAATATTCAAAACTTAATAATAATGTTAACACCTAATAATTTTATGAAGACTACTGTGAGCTACATCAGCGGCTCTCAATCTTCTTCATCCCAGGACACGTTCATGCTCCTAAAAGTTTTGGTTATGGGAGTTTTACCTATCAAGCTTTATCAAATTAGAAATTAAAACTGAAAAATTGGAAAAATATTTCATCGCAATATGAAAATAATAACAAACTCATTTCTATGAAGGAGGATAATCATATCTACCATATAGAGTTGTGATAAGAATTAAAATTTAGCAGAGTGTCTAGGACATGGGAAGCCTCAATAGACAGTAGCTATCAATACATAATTGTGTCCTAGAAATAATTAAGGAACATACTATATTTTACTGCCCTGTGTAATCAAAAGTGGTGCTATTCACAATAATAGCTGCCTGTCTCTGTGTGGTTAAAATTAGACATGGTGTAGAACCAAAATCCTATTATACATATAAACTTAGAAATACGCTTAAATATAAATGAAACACCATAAATAACACCCAAACAAAACTTACCATATGTTCTTATGTTTACAAGAACATAGCATCTGATTTTTTTAAAGGCATTATAAGCCAATTGGAAATTAACAGATTAGTCAACATTGTTGAAGCAAAAAAATAGCGAATAGGCAGAAAAAAGTCAACACAAAAACTCAACTCAAATCACACACTTAAATAAGTTCTGAATGTTTAAAACTGAAAACGCAAACAAAAATTCTATAAAGAAGGGAGTTGTAAATTTAAAAACAGTAGGAAAATTTACAAAGAAAAATAATTTAATTTTACCAAAAAACAAATTTTTATTAAAAGATAATTTATATTGTACAAACAAAAAGCAAATTTCCCTAGGTAAAAGACTCATAACATAAACAAACAACTATGTGGGAAAAGCATTTTCACAAACATGTAGCCCATATATCTTCAGCATGAAATAAACTTATGCAAATGCTTTTAAAACTAAAAACTTAATAAATAAGTGGACCAAAACATGAATACATGATTCACAAATGAGAAAAAGAATGTTCATCCTAATCATCAAGCACAAATGTGTGTATACAAATTTCAAAGATATACAAACATACAGGAATTTTTTTTAAGTTCATAGCATTTTCTAAGGTGATAATAACGATCATGAAGGTATAGTAAGGACTCTCTACCAGTCAGCATCTCAATTCAAACCAATTTAACAAAAAAGGAAAAAAGAGAAAAAAAGACAGGGAGGCAGGAGGGAAGACAAAGAAATTGATTTGTTGGTTCATCTAAGTGAAAAATACAGGAGTAGTACGACCTGGTTTTAGTTGCTGGTGGAGCCCAGTGGTCCCATCATGGTGTAGCTCTTCCTTCTCCATCCCTCGGCTCTGCTTCTCACTGTGGTGGACCAATTCTCAGGCAGACTGTCTCTGTGCAGTGAGAAATATGATCCATAGTGGCTCCAGGGCACTGAATCCTCTTCATAGCTTACAATTTTGAAGGAAAAAAGACAAACTCATCTAATAGAAAAACCTGTGATGGCCCAGCCTGGGTAACATACTGACCTAGGATGAATTGCTGTGTTGGCGTTGCTGTTTCTATTTTGGGAAACAGGAGAGGAAATACTCTAACTGGCTGTCCTTCTTGATAGAGATGGCAATATGTAATGGCGACCCTGAGTGAATCACAAGGTGTGAGGGAAAGCAAGTTCTCAAAAGGAAGGAATATTAAGAAAATAACTTAGAACAGACTTTTCCCCACAGTAGAAGGGTGAACCAATACAAATCTCTGGAAAACAATTTGCAAATATGTATCAAGAGCTTTAAACTGTGTATGTCCTTTAACCTAGCACAAGGCTAAATCTCCTGGAAGCCAGCAATCACATTTGATTTATATTTTTGAATCACCAGCCCCAAGAGCATTTTTTTGTTTTTGTTTTTGTTTTCTGTTTTGTTTGGGTTTTTTTGAGCAAGATTAGCCCTGAGCTAACATCTGCTGCCAATCCTCCTCTTTTTGCTGAGGAAGACTGGCCCTGAGCTAACATCAGTGCCCATCTTCCTCTACTTTATGTGTGGGGTGCCTGCCACAGCATGGCTTGATAAGCGGTGCACAGGTCTGCACCTGGGATCCCAAACAGCGAACTGGGCCGCCAAAGCGGAACAGCCAAACTTAACTGCTGCACCACAAGGCCAGCCCCCCCAAGAACATTTTTATGTAAAAGAAAAAAGCAATAAATGATTGATAAAGGGACAGGTAAATAATTCCTCTTCTTAGAGGCTTGGAGCACAGGTGGCAGACTGATTCCATGATCCAGGTGACATATTTCAACTCAGAAGTGATGAAAGGAAAACTCTCCCCACCTCTGCCACACCTCCTCACGCAGACCATGGCACAGGTTTTGTTTGGGAAAATGCATGGTTTTGCACCATCTGTTTCTCTAACCAGAACTCTCTTCACTCCCCTCTTCATCTGCTTAATTCCTACTCAGACTCCAGATTCAGCTTCATCATCACATCCCAGACCTTCCTGAGCAAGCTAAATGCAGGTGATGTGCTAGCCGTGGAGTTTGCCTTCACAGAATTTGCCTCACTCACAATTTACATTGCTTCAGGACAACTTGATTAACGTCAAGTTCCACTGTATTCCTGGTGTCTAGCACAGTGCTTAGAATACAGAATACCTGCAACAACAACAGCAAAAATTTCATTGAGTGAGTGAAGGTAGAGGAGAACCCCAATGCTTTACTGGGAGTGTGGGAATGCAATTCCTTCGTAAAAGGAATCAAGAGTAGAGGTGACAGATCACCATGCTCAAGTGGCCAGCAGACAGCAGCTGACAAGGCATTCCAAGGGAAAGAAGAGGATTGAAACTTAGAGGCATCCTAGACTCTATAGAATTACAAGCCACAGAAAGTGCATCCATATAGCCACTCACCCCCTCTGCATTAGCAACACACACAACCCAAGATCTCTCCTGGCAAATCAAATTGATCTTGCCCACAGTGTGAAATGGAAATCAGACCTCTCATTGAGTGGATTCTGCTGTCTTCTTGTCATTCTCACTCCTCACCCCCTTTTTGCCCGCTGTCCCCATATTTTTCTGCCTTTACACAACACCCTCAGTTCTGGGGCATCTCATTCTGTCAAGTGAAGGAATGGAATTTTTCAAGATCTTTGCACTGTATAGTCGGAGGCTCTAAGAACTAATCTCAGATGTCCCATAAGGTAGCCAGATCCAGGAGTACTTGCCTAGGAGCTATGCATCTGCTTATCCCACTGGAGCCAAGCCCCTCACACATACACATTTGTGTGAGATTCTACAGGAACTGTTTCTGAAATATTTTCTTCTTGGTTTTGGGTCCTTGACAAAAAAAAAAGGAGATGGAAGAGAAGAAGAAAATAATGAAATAGGCTAACTTATGTTTTGCCTTGGTTAACCTCTATGTTTGTTACTAAGGGCAAGAAATGATTGCAATGATGACGACGATGATAATTACGAAGAGGAAAAAGAGGAGGAGAGGTAGGAGGTGGAAGATAATGTCGGCAACAAGCCACAGTCTACAAACAGCACCTCACCATAGTCGTCTCGCTAGGCTCCTTACCAAGTACTGCAGGCAAAGCCTTAGTCAAATCCTGAGTGAGGGCAGTTATTATCATGACAAACCTCAGATGGAAGTCTTAAGACTATCCTGCTTGAAAAACTACTACAGGGACTTCCCAGTCATTCTTGGGCAACATCCACATCTTTCCGACTTCAGGAATGTTCATGCTATCCTGTGACCTAGTGCAAAACTTTGTTCTTAGGTTGCCCTTTCTAAGGATGACTTCTATATCGCTCCTTTCTATAACTGGAAGCTGAACTTTTGGAGAACCACCTGTAAGATCCAATTCATTTAGACAAGCATATGAGTGCCTACTACCCAGAAGCAGATTAAAACTGCAGCCAACTTGATAACTGTGGGTATTTTTACCCTGTTGTAAGTTAAGCTTCAAGCTAGACTTAATAAATCTGGTCTCTGGATATTTTTCAGACCTTCCACTAAAAACGAAAGATTCAGCCTGGTTGAGGCAGCCTAACTAGCTTAACTAATATTTTCTTCTTGCATAATCTCTGATGTTTAAAACTCTATGGACAAATGACAGGCACTGAAAGAAATATGGGAAAAGCCCACAGAGGCAACGGAATCCATGTCATAACTCAAGTCAGTCCTGGGCTCTAAACTTACTCCCTTGGAAGGAAACAGCTTTTCAGAATGCAGAAAATTGGCTATTTACCCTCCAAATTTATTTTGTTTTTATTGACTTGAACGCAGAAGCCAAAAAGAAAAAAAATCAACCGCGAAAATTTTTAACTCTGTGGATCTATGTTGTACCGATTTTACATACTCTGCCTAATGTGCCAGTATCAATGGAGAAAAACAGCCATAAAAGGAAAAATTAAAACACATTAAAACAAGAAAATATCTCTTTGCAAGCAATCTCTTTACTAGTGGAAGCCACAACTTTATGTCTTTTTCAGCAGAGACACCAGTGTATTTTTTAATTCCCTCATTCCTTTGGAGCTTTAAAGCCACACTATAAAGCGGTGGGTCATCAATCAGTCATGAAAAGCTTAACAGATGATGACATAAATGACAAGAATATGATCTACAGCCACGTTTTTAAACCATAGACTAATTTTCAATTCTCCAAACTCCTCATAACAAAAAGAGCTTTCTAAAAAACAAGGGAAGAGTTAACATCTTAGAAATGAGAGCCAATAGTTTGTGTTGGTTTCCAGCTCCCAATCTCGTCCAAGCTGAATATTGCATACAAATCTGTATTTGTGAGACACCCTCCTCTACCAGTTAATCAAAGCCCTGGAAATTCAAGGAAACCTGTGTTTATGGAAATCTGGCATTTCTGTAAAGTTTTGAATGAGGGCTAAATAGAGCACTTCATCTCATTTTGAAACTAATGATTCCTGCCAAGTGGTTTTCCAAAGCTGCGTCTTCTGGCTCAGTCAGCATTTAGGAATTCATTTATGAGTTGGGTTAGTCAGAGACTCTGGAATTCAAATTTATGTCTGCAACTCACTAGTTTGCTCCTGATAGGCCTCTGAAAAGAGATTGTAATCAATTTACCAAACCCAGACTTCAGGAAATTTTCATATCCCAAAAAGAAGTTCTGGTTTGGAGCTTCGTCCACTTTCTGAATCAGCCCCCTCCCCCTTCACTTCGTGCTAAGAGCTGAGTCCTGCTGTGGAGCATGGTTGATCGTCTATGGCACTTTCCCCATAGCTCATCCCTCCATTCAGAACGGCCTCATGGGGTGCGCTGGAATTCACCTCCCCTAATAGACTTGCCAGTGGTTTATAAAATGGCAGAATATATGTGTGGTTTGTCACCTCAGGCAGTTTCTGTTCTAGTTCTTGATGGAAGTAGCAAAAGCTCTGATAATTGTTCATCCAATTTGTTTCAAAGATTTATCTGCCCAGAAATGTTCCAGGAAATTAGACTATAGGCTTGGGGTATGTGTGTGTGTGTATGCGTATTTCCCTCAGTCTTAGAAACCCACACTTTACTTTTTCGCAAGGCAGGGATCACGCATTGAGCAGCCTTTCAATGTAACCATAAATTTACTACTTTTAAAAAAATTTTCCTTTGAAGAAGTCATCAAATAAATTAGCAAAGCTGGAAATGCACCTCTAGTTTGTGTTGGCTTTGCGTTTTAGGGAGTTACTTAATAAACAAAAGTCAATGAATTCAAACAGTAACAAAGTAATTTCAATGATTAATCAAGTGTTAAAACTAGTTTAACCTCTCCTGTTTTACAAACTCTATATCACCCTGACTGAACTAATAGAGGAATAAGACACCCATCTGGAAATCTCATCTGAAATATTAGATTGGGAATCGAAAATTCAGCCAAATAGTGTGGCTTGTAGGGATATCCTGTCGGATAATAAATTGCATTAATCTTACTTAAATTTTCCATCTAAATCATGTCCTGAGGCCATATTACTCTGAGGAAACTATGCCTTACTTTAAACGCATTGTGCTACTGAAAACGATATTAAAAGAAGGGGGAAAAAAGAACTTTTCTTATTTTTTTTTTTTTCTCCTGACTGGTTTTTCCAACATTAAAAAATCTAAGTGAACTCTTCTGACTCTTCTGGAAGAACTAGTGCCAGCTCAGGTCGGCACTAGCTCTTGACAGTCACCAGTAGGAGACAATGTCTGTCACAGGACACCTTCAGGAACTTTTCTCTCACTTATCTACTTCTTTCCCGTCTGTGAACTCCGAGCCATGGTGGCTTTCAGCAAACATTTTTTTTCAGGGGTGGGGTGAGTGGGCGGGGTGGGTGGGTGTGAGGGAGACGTATTTTTCTTAGCCTCTTTTTGACTTTCATATATATGGAACTACAAACAGTGTCTTTCCTGAAGATTTCACTGTGGCCTCTTTACTCCTTTCATTTTTTCATAGAAAACATTTAAATCTGCTTAAATTTTTCAACTCTAAAGAAAAAATTGCCAAGAGGGGAAAAAATATCGTTGTGGCTTTCCTAGAACTGCAAGAAGGGATTCTGCTGGCACCAAAGCCCCTCCCGGCTCTGTGCCTCCATCTGCCACCTACTAGACACTGTGAATATTAAGTGAAGTAAAAGGTGTTAGAATAATGTTGACTCAAAGTTAAACCCACAAACCCTCGGAAATGCTGAGTCGTCTCCGCCGGTTCAGAGTGTCTGCTCTGTTAGCATTCGTGGTGAGAGGAGATCCTTGGGGCAGAGCTCCATCATTTTTCTCCACTTTCCAGAAAACAGCCAAGCAGGAAAAATGGATGGAGAGCCATCTCAGGAATGGTGCCGTCCACCAGGAGCACAACAATCCACGGCCCTTTGCAACTATCTCCAGAGCGGACCTCACAGCATCCTCCAGAGCAAGCTTCACTATCATCACCTACAGATGAGGAAGCAGAAGTTGTGAGAGGTGACAGGACTGCCAGTCAAGGATGGAGCCAGGACCAGACCTCAGCTTCCAGTCTCCTGACAATCAAACCACTGGTGGGTGACACTAAGTAGACTCCCTTCCAGTCTTCTTTTAGAATATATGCCACAGAGACCCTTCAAACTCAGCCTGTCAAACCCCAGTGGAGTGGGAGTTAGCACCATGGACTCATCCATCAAAGCCAGAAATCTCCCAGTTATCCCAGTCTCCTTCCTCTCTCTAGTCTTCCATGTCCTAACAATTCCAGCACCCTCAGCATTTTAAAGGGAAAATACTTTCAGTACCCATCCCTCTTTTCCATTCTCACTGCAGAAGCCGTAGCCAAGTCCACAGAAACTCTCACTTTTACAGTCTCTGAACTGTTAATAGCCATGGACCTCACCCTGCCCTTCCTCACACCACTGCCAGAGGGATTATTCTGGAATCCCACCATGCTCATGCCTGTCTTGAAACCCCTCACAGATTCTCATTACCCACAGGATAAGCTCCTGTGGTGGAAACACAGCCCCTGTCTGTGGCCCCAGTTATATCTCCCACTACGCACTCACCTCAACTCAAACTTGATGATCCAGCAGTTCAAACTCAGTACACAGCCTCAGCAAATATCGTGTGGTTTCGCACATGAGGGCCTGTCCTCAAACTACCCTTCTACCTATAAAAGCCTTTCACACTCCCTCTGCACTCTCCCCGATGCACAGACTTCTTTATTGGAATGAATCATAGGCTTCCCCAGAGTACCCCCCTACCCTTCTCAAGATCAAGTCGGGTCCTACCCCGCTGTGCTTCCACAGCACACCTCTAGCCCAGCACTTACCACAGCATATTGAACTAATCCATTTACAGCTTGTCTCTGACTAGACTGAGATCCTTCAGGGCGGGACGACTTCTTCCTCACCTCTGTCCTCTGACACCTAGCCCAGTGCCCTGCAGACACCAAATGGCACAACTAATGTCCGTTGAAGTGAGCTCAGATTCTGCTTCTGTTTTAATGTCTTCCCCCAAACTCTTCGGTGATTCAGACAGATTGTAATGAATTTTTTTTCCTGAGGGAATTTTAGCTGGCCTGCTTATCTAACAGTTTCATTTCCCTTCCATTTCCCACAACTCATTGCTCCTTCCTCCTTAACTTTCCGTATGACCCACCCCGGGCAAACTAGAACATTCTCTCTACTCCTTTCTGTTGGCCATAACTTCTACTCCTTCCTCTCACTAGTCCAGGGCTTGTCCCCCTCAAAGGTTTCCCTGCCAGTGATGCCTAACTCCACCCCATCCCTATAGGGCCCAGCCATTGTGGCCATTGTTGAGCTCAGCTCTGTTTGGTTCTGTGCTGCTTGTTTCTGGGCTCCTGCCATTTGAGGGGTTGAGCACCTCCAGTGCCTTGTTCAGTTGTCATAGATTGTGTGCTCTGTAAGGGCAGGGACTGCAGTTCAGCAGAGTCTCCTCAAGAAGCACACCCTGGAGTGACAGGCTCATCCCACAAGTGACTAGGGCTGACTTCAGAAAATACTGTGCTTGCTGTTTTTAGTCACTAAAATCTCCTGGGCCTGGCGTGGCAAAGTTGTGTTAGATGTGAATGGCTTAAGGTAGAAATATTACAGACCACCAACATAGAAGAAGCCATCTGCTCGGCTATCACACAATCCTGCCAGTAGAGGATTATTCAGAGCCTACTGTCCATTACTCTGTTTCAACAAGCTTCTCTCATAACATTCTTTGAGGTTAGATGCTCCCACTGAAATGAATAATAGCATAGTTTATGGTAAAGGGTGAACTGAAAAAGAGTGGTGTCATTATTGCTGTAAGTACCCACAAAAGATGTTTATTATCACACACGGACACGGCCACAAACACACAACTCATCACTAATAAACTCATTTATTTCCACATAAAGTTGCACAATGTTGTGCAATCCAGCAGAGGGCTGAGAGATGTCAGCAATTCAGACCAAGCCTATTTGTCAACAAAACCAATCCATTTCACCAGCTTCAGCAAACCATTGCTGCAAGAATCGGCCTTTTTTTTTCCATAGAAGAAAATGGTTACACACAACCTTAAATAGAAAGGACGGATGCTCCAACCCCACAGACAGAGCAAACATAAGTTGAGGTAATATTCAAGGGAAACTTGGAGGTTGTGAGGTGGAGAAAGAGGATGCCATTTTGTCTCTGGTGTTCAGACCATCATTTTGTCTGTTATTAGAGAAAAAATATCAACGAACAATTAAAAAGAACAAAAGAGGTTTTCTCACTTAATACAAAACTGTTTTTTTTTAAAGAAATCTAGAATTTCTTTAATGTCTTAAGTACATTTATTGTGGGCTTACTATTCACCAGACACTGTGTTAGGTACTCAGCACATAAAAATAAATAAAGCTGTGCTCACAGGCTGGTGGGAGAAAGAAAAACAGGCACAGATCAAGATAATGCAAGATGACTGGTCATGATAGAGATATGTCATTAAGAATTATAAGCTTAGAGAAGAAGCATTTCTAGTTTGCCTCTGACAGACTTTTTACTAAAGTCACAGCCCGTCTGCCTAATTTGTTTCTCTTACAATAGTCCTTGTAGATCTTGAAAATAAATACCTGAAACTATTTGAGGGGAAAATATGTATCTAGGAAAGCAAATAATTGTTACCATGACTCAAAGAGAAACAAGGTCATTCAGAGGAAAGAGACCATGAAATAAAGCCAGAGAAATTCGGGAAATGAGAACACCCTAAGGGCTGTCATTTCACTTGTTGTAATGAGAATTCAAGAATCAATAGAGAGAGAGCCGTATCAAACTTGACTGAAACAAGATCTGCAACAAGAAATAACCTCTCAAGAACACTTGATTCTCTTCCTTCCCAGCATTCAGTTGTATTTTTCATTTTCAATTCATTCATGGCCCTCCCTAGAACCCAGCGGTCTTAAGGCTATTCATGAGGAAACTTTTGCACTCCCTTTCCTTCCAGGAGTCACAACTTAGTTGAGGGGACAAGGCCAGAAGGTATAAGAATCCATGTGACATGAGTGTGAGGGCCCTAGAAGTTGAGAACCAGGAAAAACCATAACTGACTAAAGCTGTCTGTGAGAAAGAGTTGGATAGTCTGAGGGAAGGAACAGCAGAAATAAAAAGATTGGGAGGCCAAGATTAGCAAACTTTTTAAGACTTTAAAAAATTGGAATTAAGTCCACTAAAAGCAGAGCTCCTGTTAGGGACAAGAGGAAATTGCAGTTGCTAAGTCTGATGGGGGCAGACTAAGAAGAGTCCAGAAGTAAGCCAAAGAGATTTTGGCAGGTAGATCTTCTTTGTTTCCAATTTTAATAATAACCAGTCAGCAGAACCAGTCAAACTGGCTGAGGAGATGATCAAATCTGGACTTTCATATTTTTAAAACCTGGGTTATGATCAGATACAGTATTTTCCACTATGAGCCTTGGTAAAATCATTCACTCCTATTAATATTTATAAATAAATGAGACAGAAGATATCCAAGACCCAAGGAGAGACTCTTTAATGTGTATTATTTTCCAAACGTTTCTACTTCTTTCAGACATTTAAAGGACGGTATTTAAAGAACTTGTGAGCCAGGTATTTTCAGGATATTCTGCCACTGACTATAACTTTTCTCTTCCCGGATTGTACAGCACATTCTTTAACACTTTGCATTGCATCGTTGTCATTTTCAGAATGGCGCAGTATCAGAGTAGAATAGAGAGGAGCTAGGAATCCAGATTGTTTTTTGCTCCCAGCTCTCCCACTGACTGGCCATATCACATGGAAAAGTCACCCTCTCTCTGAATTGGGCTCCTTCTTTGCAAAACTAAAGGGTTAAGGTAGTGATCGTTCAGTCTCTTCCAGATCTAAAATTCCATCATAAATGGTGCCATAGAAGATTGAACTAAATCTTCCTGGCCCCAGATTATATTGCAGAAGTTACATTTTAGTAAATCCTGCTATCAACATGTTTACTTGTCATGTGTCTCATGCGTATAAAGTTAGAGTGCAGACTGTGCCCTCAACAAATTTGGTCTTTTAAGCTCCCCAGATGTTTAGATTTCAAATAAACAGTAGTAGGTAGTTTGAAAATGACAGCAGAAAGTCAACACTTCAGAGGAAGAAGCCGAGCTCCCTAAACAACAGGCTGGGGAACCGAGAACTCTTCAGATGCCTTGGGCGAGGCGGCCCCAGCTCAGAGAGTACAGAGTGGGTCTTCCAGAGCTCTGTGTGCATATCCGAGGATGATCAGGGCTAGATGCCGCCTAAAGGAGGTAGATAAGCTCAAGATACATGATCTGCTTTCCTGCCGAGAGCAAGTTGCTTGACAGGCTTCCTGCTTGTAAAATATGAAGCCTTCTTTTCAGTATTAAAAAGTTTTGGTCTTTGTAAATGAGTTGTACCTGCAGTGGGAAAAGGAAAAGAAACTGAATAATTTGCATTTTAAAAGGAGGAGGTAGATAGTGAGAAATAGTTTATAAGTTTCCCAGCTGAAGGAAATGTACTTTTCAGATTCTGGTCCCAGCGTGTCCATATGAGGGGCCCTTCGATCTTTATAGGGATCTAAACAATCTAACTTTTAAAAATATACATGTTTTAATGTACTAAAAGTCTCCAAGTATTCTACTGTTTCTTGATCTTCACAACAACCCTATGAGGTAAGCAGGGAAGATATTATCACCATTTTAGAAATGAAGGAATAGGTTCAAAAATCTTAAGGGACTTTCTCAAGACTTCACAGCTAATAAATATAAATAAGTGAGCATTGACCCAAGTTCAGTTTGTAGATGTCCTTCCAGAGTACTCTGTGGCCCCTTCTACACTTCAACTTTTGATTTTCCTTTTGTATTGACTTCTAAGGTAAATAATTTTGCTGTCATTTATATGAAAGTGATGTGACAATTCTTCCCAAATTAATACATAAGCTTAACACATTGATAATCAAAATCCCAACAGAAGGCTTTTTAATGCATTTTTTAAAAATCTTTTAACAATAATTTGGAAAAATAAACAAGTTAAACCATACAATTTTAAAATGGGGGTAATAATGGGGGGACTAGCATTAGAAGTTATTAAAATATTATGTCTCCAATAAGAACGGTACTGACACAAACGAGACAGAAAGAGGGAACAAAATCAACGTTTCAGAAACAGACCTTAGTATAAATAAACATTAAGTATATGAAAACTGAAACATCACAATTAATAGAGAATGGAAGTCGTATTCTACAACTGATGTTAAGATAATTTGTTAGAAATTAATCTTTAAATTATATTCATATACTGAAATAAAGATCAAACAGAATAAAAAATATTAAGAAAATAAAAATAACAAAAATCAAAATAAAACATGGATAAATATGTATCTAATCTGAATGGAGAAGAACTTGCTAAACATAAATTCAATGGAAGAAATTACAAAGGAAAAATATAAATAGAGGTGACTTTAATAAACACTTTAATTTTCATATATCACAAGAACATGTTAACCAATAATTAAAAAAGTAACCTGGGGAAAATACTTGTATCAAGAATGACAGATAAAGTTATATACTCTCTTTAAATACAGAATTCAATCAAACCAATAAAAAACTCTAAGAGTTCAATATATAGGCAAAGGATATGAGCAGGTAGTTCTTAGAAAAGGAAATGCGAATGAACAATCAACATAGAAAAAAGTTCAACCTCACTAGTACTCTCAAGGGAAATTAAAATGATATACCACTTTTTGCCTATCAAACAAGTAAAGTTTTAAAAATTATAATTCTTGATGCTGAAACGTTGCTTTGAGGTGACACATTAAGACTCCACACTATTGAAAGGTACGCCAGGACCATCTCACTGCAAAGCAATTTGATTTTGTTTCCAAAGTTCATGCACTTGACTTCAGGAATCTCTCCTCAGGAAATAATCAGACCTATGAAAAGAGATTTGTAGTCCAGGACATCTCCTTTATAATAAAAAAATGTGAAAAGCCACCCAAATGTTTAAAACTGTAGAATGTTTAGGAAAATGATGGTTCACACAGAAGATGAAATATTATGTCCCTACTGAAAGTGTAACAAAGAGTTTTGTTATGTGAGGAAATATTTTTAAAATAGTGTTCACTGAAAAAAAATCTTGAGACAAAATCCATATACACATGAGTTCA